AAGCACTCACCAACGCTCAAGGTAACTGGTTCTACTGTCGTACTGCTCTAACAGTTAGGAAGTTTTTCCTTATATTCAGCCCAAATCTGGCTTCTTGTGGCTTGAGCCCATTATTGCATTTCTTGCTCTCTGGGATGACAGAAAACAGATCTTGCCCTTCCTCTGTATGAGTACCTTTCAAATATTTGAAAAGTGCTATCATATCACACCTCAGTCTTCTTTTCTCAAGGCTGAACATGCCCAATTCTTTCAGCCTTTCCTCATAAGGCTTGGTTTCCAGCCCCCTGATCATTCTTGTCGCCCTCCTCTGAACTTGTTCCCATTTGTTAGTATTCTTCTTGAAGTGGGGTGTCCAGAACTGGACACAATACTCAAGGTGATGCTTAACCAGTGCTGAATAGGGTGGGGGGGGGAGGAGACTAGCACCTCGCAGGATTCGGAAACTATACTTCTATTAATGCATTTGCCTTTTTTGTAGCAACATTACACCGTTGGCTCATATTTAGCTTGTGATCTACGACAATTCCAAGATCCTTCTTGCTCGCAGTGTTGCTGATCCCGGTATCCCCCATCTTGTAACTGTGCAGTTGGTTTCTTTTCCCCAGGTGCAGTACTTTGCACTTATCCCTGTTGAGTTTCGTCCTGTTGCTTTCTGCCCAGTAATAAAGCCTAGGGAAGAGTATGACCAGATAATCTTTATTCCTGCTGCTCACTGATGAGCCCACTCAGGAGCCTTGCTTTCCCTGTTCACAGTTAATAATAATCTTAGAACTGCAAAGCTGGAAGGGACCTTATGGCTCATCAAGCCCAGTCGAGGAGCCACAGTGCGGAATCAAACTCCCAACCTCTACCTAAACCACTGAGCTACCTAGCAACTCATTCCTACCTTTTTAAGCCAGAAGCTTTAGGTTAGCTTATGTTTTTTAAAGGATGCCCTAAACCAGAGGACAGTCCTCTATAAAACAGGGCATGTTATCATCCTAATGATAAGGTGAAAATCAAGTTATAAATACCCCAATACCCCAATAGGCACCACTGACCGTGGCTGAATTTAAAGGCTGGGCCCAGTGACACGTGATAATAACTTTTGGACCATCCTATTGATGCATATATAGGGGGTGTCAGAGCTTTTATGTGCTTGGACTGTTATACACACCTATAAATATCCTTAATCGCATAAATCACAAG